GTTGGACAGGTGTACCTAATAAAGTGGCCGGTGAGTGTAGTTTGTTATGGTGGTACAAATGCTACCAGTACTAAATGCTAAATGTTGCATAAAGCTAATAATATTTTTGTGAATAATATTATTAATAGTTTTTATGATTTCTACATTGTCAGTCCTATTTGTTGCTATGTTGCCACAATATAAAGCCGGGCTATTCAACTGGTGGCCCACAGGCCACATCCGGCCTGCGAGTGATCAAAGTTCGGCCGGCCAATTAGTTCATTCATCTCTTAAGCCCTAACTCCTGGTTTTCTACCTTTATTACTGAAAGTTCTTTTAGTTAAACATAGATATGTTTGGTGTTTACAGAAACATCAGAATCTTTGCTACAAGCTGCATTTCTATAAACACCCAAGACAGTTAAAATTACAAGCAGTAGAAGATAAAACTATGAAAGTGAAAATAAAATTGGTTTAAAAAGTTGGCAAGTCAGAAATGTCAAAATAATATTTGTGTTAAATATGAGGCATAATGTGTTCTTTCTGTTTTTGATATTGTTTAATTATTACAWAGGGTTCTGTATGTTGTATTCATGGTTAAATGCAGCAAAATAAACTATTTCAATGGTAACAGATTTTTGTAATAATTGGTTTATTTACATCATGACTTTAATTTCTGGATGTTCGGCCYCTGAGCTGTTGACCTGCAGTAACTRTGGCCCCTGGAGTGGTTGAGTAGTCCTGATGTACATTAATGGTAAATTCAGACTTGTTATGCTTAGCATTAGCTTCTACAGATCACACAGTCTCGTGGTTTCCGCTCACTCTAGTTGTTCTATTACCAGTGTTGTTTAAAGTACCTCAAAGTGATACTTGAGTAAACGTCCAAGTATCTTGTAAAATTACTTTTGTAAAATTTAAAGTCTCCTCTAAGAATAACTTGAGTAAAAGTCTTAAAGTATCTGATTCATTTTGTACTTATTAAAAGTAAATCCATCCATCTTCTGTACACGCTTCTTCCTTTCAGGGTCACAGGGGTCACTGGTGTCCATATCCATCAGTCACAGTGCGAGGGGCGGGGTACACCCTGGACAGGTCTCAGTCCATCACAGGGACACACATAGAGACAAACGAGACAAACAACCATTCACTGTCTCACTCACACCTAGGGACAATTTAGAGCTATCAGTTAACCTAACAGTCATGTTTTTGGTCTGTGGGAGGTATCACGAGTCAAGGCAGAGTGAGTGGACCAGCAATATAACCACAAGCAGTCAGATTCAAAATAAATAAACAGTGCTTTATTTTACAGGTGCAGAGGAGAAAAAGGGGTGCGGATCCGGATCTGAGGAGAGGAGGAGGAACAGGTGAGTATCCAGGTCTTGGGTTAACTGAGGTGCAGGATCTTTGAATGACTGAATGAAAATAATCTTACTTTCAGTGACAGGTTGAAGTTGCTCGGGTCCTGATGGAGCAGAACGTGCTGGGGTGAAC